TGTTAAAAAAAAAATTAGAAGGGAAGAAAATAGTAGACTGAAAAAAAAACTATAGAAACCAAAGAGGAAATAAGTGATGATTGGAAGCAATTTTACTCCATTAGAGAAAATTTGCACTTTAGGTGAAAAATGAGCATTTTTTTTTTTGCTAAATATTGCAGTATATAATTTATAACAGCTTGTGGTGGTAAATAATGTCCTTCTGTTCAAAGCTGACCTACCCCAAGCATATTTCCTACAAACCACCCTATATTTTATGTAGCCGTGTATCAGGAAAAACGTTGTATACACAACTGTAACGTAACATAACCCAAGAAAGTCGTAAATGCCACCCCAATGTTGCCACGCGACACCCCAAAAAGTGGCTGTTACACCTAAAATACCTGACACCTATACACTAAGTTCCTTGCAAATAGAAAAAAAAACTTTGTTAAAAAAAAAAATTTTACCCAAATATAAAATTTTACTATAAAAGTAATTTTAACTTAAAATTTATATTTCCTACAATATTTCTGAATGAACAAAGTAATTTTATTCCCATAGCGTAACAAGGGCCATTTCTCTTATTACCAAGGATATAAAAAAAAAAAAAAAAAGGCGACGGAAATATGAAGGCTGTGGTGGACTATTAGTGTGAAACTGTTAACTTCGTCGCACAAAATGAAAAGACGATATTCGAATCCAAAAGGAAGCCGACGAACGATTTCGTGTCACGAAAGATTTACTGCCGGTCAGATTTTCGGAAATGGTTCAAAAAAAAAAAAAAAAATATGAAAAATCCTTCGAAAGGTTTCTCGATCGTAAAACTCAAGTAGTGAGGATGTCAGTCATCAGAGGAGGGAAAGATTGAAACTTGTTTTGTAACCGCAAACAGTTTATCGATCACAAAAAGCAATAATATTCTCACTCCATAGTTGAAAACACATTTTTTTTTTTTTTCCTACAAAGTTATAGAAATCAATTTTTCTCTCGTTCTCCGCAGTCAAAAGTTTGTTAGAAGAAAAAGTTATTGGTAAGTTTAATAACCGTTGATTAAAATTATCATTGTTTCAATTTTGAAACTTTTAAAAGACAATTGACTCTGGTTCGATTATCTATTTAACAAGCTTGAAGGGTTCTGTGTTCGATTCCCAGCTAAGAAAAAAAAATTTTTTTTTTTATCATCATATTTGACAAAAGTATATATATATATATATATATATACGAAGGTGACGGTATACATGTTGTTGGGGTATGTCACCGTCATAATGACGACTGATAGGTTATTAAAAGCCATACTCAATGGCACGAAATGCAAGCTCGTAAAGCCGGTTTTACAACCCTATATACCCGCCATAATCACCCCCCCATGGTAGCAGCATCCAACCTTGCCTGAGCTTCTGTCGCGGGTTTTCCAAGTAATATTCGCGTCCCGCTCTCAAGCCACTTTTCCATTATCTCTATACTACCGATAAATAGGAAAGCCAGCGGTTAATTTTGTGGATACATGAAAACGCTCAAACTGGACGTGAGTAAATCAATTAGCATCTCAATATTTTATGGTAACCCTCTAACTTTGCATCGATAAAATTATACTATCGACAAATTTTCCTGTCATTCTGGCCTAAGAATTGAACAAAAAATTTATGGTCTCAAACATATATTTTTTTTTTTTTTTTTGGTACATTATAAATGAAAATTAATTTTACTTTTATGATTTTGATTATTTAACTTTGATGAAACAAAAATTTTAACTGGTGAAATATTCAAACAAAAATGTGCTTCGTAGTTGGCGCCACTATTTCGTTTGGCACATTTTGACATAATTTTCGTCAACTATCGCACCCTGCTCTAGTGAAAATTTATGAGCAAAAGAGAAACGTAACCGGAATCGTAAAGGCCTGAGCAAAATAGAAACGTAACTGGAATCGTAATCGCATCCGGAATAATGAGTTAGAAAAGGACAAACAATATTTCTATCTTTTTCTAACTCATTCTTCCAATTGTGGTTACGATTCCGGTAACGTTTCTACTCTGCTCAGGCCTTAATCGTAAACCCAATCGGAAAAATGAGTTAGAGAAGGATAGATAGATTGTTTATCCTGTTCTAACTTATTCTTCAGGTTGCGTTTACAATTACGATTCCGGTTACATTTCTATTTTGCTGAGGCCTTTAGTAATTTTTAATTTTAAAAATAAAGTCACTAAATTTTTACTCGAGCAGGGTGCGGTAGTTGACGAGAATTATGACAAATGGAGAGTGGGGAAAATGGAAACCAAACAACGTGATTACTATTTTGATCGTAATTTTGTGTATTGTACAGTTAACCTCAAAAAAAAAGGTTAAGTTGCTGTCCACTTTTTATTAATTCGCAATTTTCAATATTTTCGATTGTTGCAGATTCGGTAATTTCTATTTGGTCATGATTTTGTGTATTGTAAAGTTAACCTCAAAAAAAATGTCCACTTTTCTTCATTAAAAATTAAATTACAATCGGTGATTGAATGTGAAAAATCTTTTAAAATCGAAAAAAAAGTTTGCAAAACAAAATATATATTTGAAAATTAATACACATATGGTGATTCTAAAAAGACTATTCATTGAAATAGTGGCACTTTGATGAAAAGAAACTCAGCAATAAAAGCAAGAAACGTTAACCGACCAAAGCAAAACTGTTTCCCCTCTCGTTTTTCATTCCTTTTTTGGGTATACAACAATCTTATACTAAAATATATATATATATATATATATATATATATACACTAACAAGTGTGGCTGGGAATCATTATGCCCGCTGGTACACAAACTATTTCCAACGAAAACGAGCAAAATAACGATAACTTTTTAAAACGAGCCCGCGCTCGTAAAAGCAAAAGCGAGCTTCTAGGTTTCGGCTTTGGTTATAAGTTCGTATTATATTAGCCGGATTCAAATGGCCGGCCAACCAATGAGGACGATCGTAAAACCAGGGTTAACATTCGGTCGGGTTGTCAAGTGAAAGAGTGGCTTGAATTTCGTTGGGATCATTGTGAACGACGTTATAAGTGTACACATAGGGTGTCTCATGATTTCTTCAAAATATTATAAACAAATAAAATTTTTTTTTAACGATTTTGTCATTTATTTGTAAAATAAAATTGCCTCAAAAATTTCTTTTGATAGAAATTAATTAAAAAAAAAAATAAAACATCAAAATTTGTACAATACATTTCTGAATTTTTTTTTTTTTTTATTTAATGATATAGAAGGGCTAGAAAATAATTTTGTATTCGTCATCGAGCATTCGTGGCAAAAAAAGTAAATCGACCCCTTTGCATATTAAATGTATCTGATTAGTTCGATTTAAACTGTAAATGGGTAACTTTGTTAATAAGAAAAGTTGTTCGAAAGCGTTTCTTTCTTACATTAATAAATCAGAGTTATACGGTCATGCGCAGAAGTGGATAAAACGACAGCTTTTATATTTATTACGTGTCTACTTCACAGGAACTGTATCGATGAAATAGATATTATTCATGTGTATAGATGTAGACAGAAAGGCTGTTTAGCAGGGAAGAAAACCAAGAGAAAAATATGTGTGGAGGGTCAATTTTAACTGGAAAGCGAGACATACTTGGGAAAGTAAGAGAAGGGAAAGGATAATGGAAAATTTTATTGATTCGTTTCTTAATCAATATACATATATATATATATATATTTATGTAATAAAGATTAAAAATTGATTTAAAGAACAGCAAGTTCAGTCATTTTTTTGCTGAATACAATTATTCGAATGAAGGGAAACTCTATGTTCCGTTAAATCACTGAATAGAGGCCTTTCTTTCAAATGCCATAAAAAAAGTCTATCTTATCTACAAATGATTATTATAATTTCAATTCATTTAATTTTCTCCTAATTAAATAACTCATTCATAAAAAATTAAAATTTTTTTGAGCAAAAATTGAGTTTCAAAAATGATTGAAAAAAAAGGGCAAAACAAGATTGAGGAACATGATGCTATTAAGTAAGGCATTTACCGTTAAAGAAGAGTAAAAGAAGAAGAAGAATATAAACTGAAGTCAGGAGATAAAATATGAAACTGAACTTATTATTGAAAATACAACTCTTTTACGGCTTTTCACAACCTTGGTTTTTAGTTTTCCCTTCTGGTTTGGCACTAATCATATTTCCATAACTTTTTCCTTTTCGACTATAATAATCGAAGCAGAAAAAACAAAATGGAAAATATTACATACGTAAACTAAAAGATAAATAAATTAAATTTTTGAAACGTGTCAGTGAATGAATTATATATTAAACTTTTTAACATAGTTATTTTTAATTATATCATTTATGAATAATTCAAGGGAATGCAGAGAACATATATATATATACATTTCTTTGTGCTAGACTTCTTCGAAAAGTCTAGCACGCAAAGCTCAACCGCACTTCCGACAGACAAAGCACAACCTCATGTGGAAGTTTAAGACATTATCCCATAACCGCATTTCCGGTTAGCGAAAGCATAATTATTAAAATGTCTCAACTGTTCAATAATCGAAGCCAAATAATTTTCATTGATGAACATCTTTATAATTTACTAAACCTCGCTTCCTGCAAGTATATAAAAAAAAAAAAATTTCCGAATGAACACACAGCAGGACTCAAAAAATAAAATTTCTCTGCTTTTGGTATTCTATACAGTAATTAAATCCCAGTCACTGAAAATCTTTCCGGGAATTTTTTTTTAGAATACAAAAAAAAAAAAAAACAACATTCTAATCCAGAACTTCTAAACAAATTTTTTTTTTAAAACTGTATTTTCATTTCCATCGACTTGACCTTTTCTCAAGCGAGTTTTAAAGAATACAAATCATTTAAATTTTAAATCGTAGCATTCGAAATTAAATTTAATTATATACACATACACACAAGTTTGAACCTTGAAAATAGACTGAAAAATTTTCCTATTAAACTTTATAAATATAAAACAGAAAAATATAATTTTTTTCATTAAAATTTAAAAACAAAAAAACTCACTGCTTGTGCTGGGCAATGGTTGTGGAATTTGGTCTAAAGGTGATACTTTACTCGTCGATGGAATTCTCTCATCTCCAACACTGCTTGGTACTCCAAGACTGTCATGATCACTTATTGATGAATTACTACTGTTACCATCACATTTTTTTTTCATCCTCTTCGTTTGAGGAAGGGTCACCAGTAAATCGTCATCCAGATAATCCAACTACTTGAAAAAAATGCAAAATTGTTATGGATAAATATTCTCCAAAGATTTTTTTTTTTCATATAAAAATTATTTGAGCTGATTATAAAAACAGAAAAGAAATTTGATTTTCATTTATAAAACAAAACTTTCATAATTACATTTAATACTCATTAACGAGAAGTATACTGTCTATCGTATAAATGTATCAGTCAAGTCTCGATGCTATTGTTCATGGTCGAGTGTATTTCTGTCCATTTTATGACATATAGCTAATATAACTATATATATACACAGGAAAATCATAAACTCTTTTTGCAAAACAAATTTCTCAAAACAGTAATAATAAAAAAAATTTATATATCGAGAAATTTCTTTCATAAACTCTTCATTGAATACCTCCACAGCATCAAAACTTTTCTAAAGATTTCCTAAAGATTTATTTGAAATATTCGAAATATTTAATTGCAATATTTCAATGAAAATTGTGTAAATATTTAAATGTCCCACTTGAATAAATATTTATAGTTTATAGCGAAACTTTCCTGAAAATTTCATTTAAATTTTCAGGAAATTTTCACACTAAGCATTTATTTAATCGGGACATTTAAATAATTACACAATTTTCACTAAACATTACAAATAAATATTCCGAAAATTTCAAATAAATCTTTAGGAAATCTCTAGGAAAGTTTCGGTGCTATGGGGGATTTAAAAAATTACCTTATTAAAATTATTTTACAATTTTGTAGAACTAGTAGAAATTTTTGATATTATTAAAAATACACAGAAAAAATTTGGACTCATTTTTGTTGTAGTTCAAAAAAAGACGTAAAAACGTGGCGCCATCTACGAGGCATATTTTTATTGCCTTTGAAAAATTTATGTTACGTTAATTATTTTTGAGATTCAGATTTTTTCGTTGTAATGAGGCATAATTTAGAAATATTATTTTTATTTAAAAAACAAACATGCAGACCTCTCCAGGCTGTATCTTGTGATTTGTTGTCTCGGTTATTCGTCGTTTTAATGCAGTATTATCTGCCATATTACGTTGTCGTTGCTTAAGAATAATGCAATTTTCACACTCACATCGTCGAAATCTACAAAAAATTTTATGACCAGCAAGACGAATAGTCAATCCATGATTACGACAACGCGCACAATTTGGCTTAGTTCGTTTTGTATCAGAATCCTTGTTCGATGAACTTTTCGAACTGTTTTCGTCTTGACCCATTTAAAATTTATTAATTCCCTACACTTTCGATATAATTGAAATCGTTAATTTTAATATATATATATATATATATATATATTTTTTTTTTCTATTGAATATTATTCACTGCACTAAAACTTTTTAGATTAGAAAAACAAATTGATGACGTTTTCAAATGTAGAATATCTTTGTGATTCATTTCAGCAGATGTTTGATGTGAAGGCAAGTCATCCCTCTCATGAACCTGTAAAACAAAAACAAAAAATTTTCATTTAAAAAAATGTTTTATACTCCTTTCTGCTGAAATAACTAAATGAATTTTTTTTTTTTTTTTCAATGAAAAATTAAATAAAAATTTTTCAAGAATAATGACGTCTTACATTTAGAAACTCGGCCATCGTTGTATTAATTTTATATATCATTGTTCCATGAATAGAACTTGAAGAAAGATCGAAACTTAAAACGTCAAGGGTGAACTTTTTCTGACATTTCTTCCATAAGTCTTTATGAAGAACTTATATACAAAGTTTAAATTTATGGCAATATATAATGAAACCAAAATTAGTCTCGAACAATAAGTGTTTCTTATACTTTAGTGTAAATATGTATATACACTAAAAATACATCATAAGAATATATATATATATGTATATATTTATATTTATACTATTCTCAACGCCTCTCAAACTTGTGACTTATTTCAGTGTACGTTGCAAGCCCATTAAACTCATTATTATGCAAAGAGCTATCGATCTCTATAAACGAGTCGATAGTCTGCTTTCTGAAACGCGTATACAGTGAATCCATTGTTAATATGTAAGCCCTTAGCGATGTTGCTGCTTTTTTTCATTCAAATGCAAATTTTTCTTTTTTTTTTTTTTTTTGGACCATAATTGTACTGACGGTCAAATTAACCTCAAGAATCCTAAACAAAATCTTCTCATCAAAAAACGGTTATGAAAAAGGAAAAGAGAAACTTGACAAGAAATTCACAAAAATCGTTTCAATGGAGTCTGTGTAAGTAATTGGTTGCTAAAAGAAGTTGTTGAAAAATAAGACTTTATTCTAAGTGAAAATAATTTCTATTTTTATTCCTCTATTATTAAAAAAAAAAAAAAAAAAAATTCAAATAATCGGTTAGTTTATTTTCAAAACACTGCATACCGTTTGTGGACACTAAAATTAATGTTGGTATTATTAAATGTCCTAAAGTTACTATATATATATTATATGGGGACATTTATAGAATTTTGATATAGGTTGGCAACACTGTTTTCACTTTAGAAGAAGTTCAGTTGGCTTTATTAAATACCATACGAAGGAACCAAACGAGGTAAGTCGAAATAATATTATAAAAAATTTATTAGTTTATTTATTAATTATTTTCAATTTTCCAGATAAGGTGATTACTATTTGGTCGTGATTTTGTGTATTGTAAAATTAATCTCAAAAAAAGTTTGACTTGCTGTCGACTTTTATTCATGAAAGCAATTTTTAATATTTTCACTTTTGCAGATTCGGTAATTCCTATTTGGTCGTGATTTTGTGTATTGTAAAAAGATAACCTCAAAAAAGAAGGTTGAGTTGCTGTCTACTTTTATTAATTAGAGCAATTTTTAATATTTTCATTGTTGCAGATTTGGTAATTTCTATTTGGTCGTGATTTTGTGTATTGTAAAAAGTTAACCTCAAAAAAAAGGTTGAGTTGCTGTCCATTTTTATTAATTTTAAATAAATTTTTAATATTTTCATTGTTGCAGATTCGGTCATTTCTATTTGGTCGTGATTTTGTGTATTGTAAAAAGTTAACCTCAAAAAAAGTTTGTCCACTTTTATTCATTAAAGCAATAACTGTTATTTATTAGCAGTAATTAAAATATATGAATTTCTTGAAACGAGATAAGCCGAATGATATCAATAATATTATAAAAAATTACTCGCTTATTAGTTTATTTATTATCATTTTTGCAGATTCAATGATTACTATTTGATCGTGATTTTGTGTATTGTAAAGTTAACCTCAAAAAAAAAAGTTGCAGTTTCTGTTCACTTTTATTCATTTAAGCAAGAACTATTATTTATTAACAGTTAGTAATAAAAATTATTAAATCATTTTGCGTTTTCTCTTCTATATACAAAACATTAATTCTATTTTATAGGTTAAATTGAATTTAGTTTAATAATTTATAACTGTCGCGTTATAATTTTCATAGTGAATGAATTTATTCTAAAAAAAAAATAAATAATTTTATTTTAATTATAAATTTGGAAATGATTTTCGAAAAATTAACTCATTATAGTATTTCGGTAAATTTTTCGTATTTTTTTCGGAAATCCTTCTGCAGAATATTTTTCTAATATAATGTTATGTAGGTATCTTTGAGGTTAGGGTTTCAATTAACTGTTTTTTTAGGATGTTTAATAAATGTATAAATTTTAATTATTTTACAGCGTGGGATTTATTTACGTCAAGTCTATATTGATCGGCCCACTTTTGCATCCGTTGAATTTTAATTGTTCATTTTTAAATAATACAGTCTCTCATTGTAGACAAATTAATTATTCACAATGTTTTTTTTTTAACGCATTTATATTCACTGTCATTTAAAACTCAATTTTTGTGTCAAAATAAGCAAAAAAAAATTTCGATTTTAAATATATACTTTCAGTAAAAAATATTTATTTAAAAATTATAAAAACACGTTTGAAAATTTATAATTCGTCAAGAAAAAGTGAAATATTTTAATAAAAGAATTTTTAATTTAATAATTATTAAAAAAAATATATAATGAAAAGTATTCTTTTATTGTAAATTAATATTATGAAGGTTAAAATTCAGTTTTTTTTTTTTATTATTGTTGTTCACATTGTATTCGTAAAGAGCGGTATATTATATTCTCGTGGAATATATAAAGTATAAAGTTGTGGGTATATAGTCTATAGATAAATAAGCTTGCAAAGTAGCGCGTGCTTCTTTTTGTTTTAGTAAATGTACTTACATGAAGTAAAAATATCGTATATCATTAAAAGACAATTTATTTGAGCGGAAATAGTGTTTTAATTTTACACTACATTCAACCTTCAGTGAATAAATAAAAAAAACGGAAATAATAATAATAAAAATAAATCTCTATTTAAATAACAAAATATATTATTTTGCGGTTGAAAATAAAAAAAAAAAAAAATTTTATCTGGAACAGTGATATAATTTTCTAGAATTGGGAAAACTTTCTCAGTTTTCTCTCCGCTGTTTCAGATGAAGATTTTTTTCCGATGATATAAAAATTTAAATATATGAGATAAATTAAAAAAACCAAATTTTTTTTGCATGTTGTTGAAAATAGTTGTTTAAATTTTCTGATTTTTTTTTTTTTAGAGAAAATCGATGTTAATCTATAAGTATACTGTGATGTGAAAACTTTTTGAAAGTTTCTCACGATCTGTTGGATCTGGACCGTATTTATCACTAAAACCACAATCCCTTTTACACCTCAAGCTATCGGACTTGTTGTTCAGTTTCCGAATTTTATAATTTTTTTAAAAAAATTATTTTCTTTTTCCAAACTAATATATAATTTTTCTTTATATATGTTTCTTTGAATTTTAAATTATTTTTGCATTTTTACAAAAGCGGGCAATATTTTTCTAATTAAATAGAATTATTGTTTTTATAATAGAAGAAGAAGAAAAAAAAAAAATTATATAGAATATTGGAGAATAAAAATAACCGTATATAGATAATGTCATCATATATACATATATATATATATATTGAGCTACAATAATTATTGCATTCGATTCATTAACAACACACTATGATAAATTATGTACATTCTTGATTCTATAATTTGCATGCTATTTATCGTTAGTAAGTATTCCTTATCAACGTTCATTATTATACATGACCTATGTTGCTCTTGCACATTTTAGAACAAAATGTACAATTGTGTATTATAGAACTTTTCATTGTAAAAGATTATATATCTACTTTTAATTGGTATAAGAAAATCAATATAATATATAAAACAAAAATCAAAGAATTATTGAATTAAAAAAATTATTGAGAGAAAATAATTCTAATTAATATTTTTGGAGTAAGAACCCAGAACAGCAAGAAAAGTGGTTTATAAATATTTATTTGATTCAAATAAATTTTTTATTTAATTTTAAATTAAAAAAATTTATTTACGCCAAATTGGCTAGTATATAAGATATACGTTTACTTAAATCAAATACATTTTATTTGATTTAAATAAAACATTTGTAATGTAGAATAAAAAATATGAAAGAAATATATCTAAACGAAAGCTTTAGAAGTTTCGATCTATCATTTCGTTAATAGGGACGCTATATATATATACAGTGATGACAATTTGACAGATTGTATGAATTCATTCTCAAAGTCAATGGCAGTTTATTGCAACGAAACGAGAATATTGATCTTCTATGTCGCGCAATTCAGCTATAAATAAATTTTATCCAATGCGAGTAAGACTCCTATTCACCACATTATATTCTTTCGATGATAGTCGATCAATACTTATAAACCTTATAGTTTCTATGTCTCATAGGCTGTATTTTCTATTCACTAGTATTTGCTATATTTAATAAAAAAAAAAAAAAAAAAAAAAAAAAAAAAAAAAAAAAAAATTAAGTGCCCTACACATTCATGTCAAATAGACAAAATATATCGTCGATTTCATATATACGAGAGACATTGTTTCCTTGACTACATAGTGTATAGAGGCTCATTAAATAGTCCATGGCATCAATATGAAACGTAAAGCACAATAAATTATGAATTTGCATTCTAAATGATAAGAAAATTTTAAATCGTTATTCATTTTCAAGAATAACGAAAATATAAAAAAAAAGATGCGACGACATTTTTGCTGAGCCACTATAAGCATTTGATAAAAACGAATTTTTTCAAAACGATTTGAAATTGAAATTAAAAATATTTTCCTCGTAAAAATTGAAAGTAGATAGAAAAAGTTTACTGTGGTAGTAAACTATTTGCTGTCACATCAAATTACGTTAGCTAATATAGAGAGAGACAGCGAAAAAATTTTGTCAAAAAAGTTTGTAAATTTTAAAAAATTATGTTTATCAAACTTTTTCGCTGTCACAGCAAAAAAAATTTAGCTGTGGTTACTAATTTTGATAGATCCGATAGCTAACAAGCATCTGTAAACAATTCCTTTTTTTTCCGTGTAGAAAAAGTTTGTTGTCGCAGCGAATATATTTGCTGTCACGCATTAAATTACGTTAGCAAATATAGGGACAGCGAAAAAATTTTGTCAAAAAAGTTTGTAAATTTTAAAATTTTTTGTTTATCCCAGCAAACTTTTTCGTTGTCACAGCAAAAAAAAATTTAGCTGTGGTTACTAATTTTGATAGATTTGATAGCAAACAAGCATCTGTAAATAATTCCTTTTTTTCCGTGTAGAAAAAGTTTGTTGTCGCAGCGAATATATTTGCTGTCACGCATTAAATTACGTTAGCAAATATATAGAGACAGCGAACAAATTTGCTGTGGGGTGAAAAAAAGTTTTCTGCACGGAGAAAAATAGCTAAAATTTAGTTACCTTAGCTAATCCCAATTGCTATTATTATTATTGTTAACTAAAACAGATATTAGCTTTGACAGCTAATAAGTTTTGCTGTGGCAGCTAAATATTAGCTACCAAAACTAAAAATTCGCTATCCATAGAAAACTCATTTTGCTCCGTGTAAATTTTTAAAAAATTCATATTATCACAGCAAATTTTTTCGTTGTCATAGCTATGTTGACTAATTTTAATAGATCCGACAGCAAACATCAGTTAGCGTATTTCCTTTTTTTTTGTCTAAGACCAAACAATTTAGAGAATGAATTTTCAAAAACCAAAACATGATCCAAGCAACATTATTCGTTTTGGTATTTAAAAAATTTTATCTAAACTTGATCCATTATATTTTCTATTCAAGTTTTCAAATTCTCCGAAATTCTTCGAATTTGCGTTCAAAAATCTTTGTAAATGAAAAAGATGATTTTTAAGAAAAATTAATTTTATTTTCTTTAAAAAGAAATTTTACCTGATTGAAAATTGACAAAAATGTGAATCCGTTCCTTTCACAAAAGGAATCCAATTAAGATTCCCACGTTCTCGCAAATCGTGCGCGAAACTTGAGTTGTTCACTATTCAATTGTCATGTGCGTTCAAAGACACGAACACGCTTCACTTTTTGGTTCACTGCAAAATTTGCTTTACATTTAAAATCGTACCCTTGACCTTCCACTTTATATGAGAAATCATCCGCGGTAAAGTATTATTTTCCTATTTTTTTTTTTTTTGTTATATATAGTGTATCACACAAGAAACAACACTTTTTAAAAAAATAGCCGGGATTTTCAAATCTCGAGTCACGTGGCCATTATAAAAAGAGCGCGAAACACATGTGAATGCGTAGATCCATAAATTGTTAACAGAAACTTATAACAAATGGAAAATAATTCAAAAAAGCACTTCTATTTAGTTTCCAAAAAAATTTCCACTTTTCAGTTTTTTGACAAAAAACGTTTTATGTCAATTTTTGTATTCGTTAGAAATTTTGAAATATAAAACTTTTTGTTTGTTGCTCATTGAAAAATTGTTGGAGAACTTTTTTTTTTGTCTATATATTTTCAAAGGAAAATATTTCTTCACTTTTTATTCGTACCACTGTTTTTTTGAAAACAATTTTCAAAATGCTTTATTGTTTTTATTTGAAAAAATTGCACTATTTTTTTTTTTTTTTTAATCACTTATATTCGAAATTTAAATTGGAATATTTATTTATTTATTTTTTTTTAAATAAATTTTAAAGCGCGTGGCAATGACTGAGTGACGGACGTGAAATCGACGCACACCAGATTGTAGTCTGTAACTCAATGAAGTGCCGCTCTTGGTAGCGATACGTTTTGAGTTGGTGGGGGAGAAAGGTGATTGTCGTCATTGAAGTGGCGGGAGATGGCGTAGAAACCTCCTGCGTCTTTCTCGTAAGAGAGGTGGTTCCACGAGGGATATTAGTTTCAATCTTTTTTTTTTCTATTACTCTAAATTCTTCTAAAATACCTCTTTTTTTATTTTCCATTTATTTTTCCGTTTCGTAGGTATTTTTTTTTTTTTTTTTTTTGAAATAGTTATATACAAAGAATTTAGTATTTTCAATTGCAATTTTAATATTGAAAATTTCATTTTAAAAATATCAAATATTTTTTCGCGTTTTTCATTTCTGCGCGAAATCAGTTTTTTTTATTGTTTTTTTTTTATAGTATAGTTTTTTTTTTTTTTTTTTAAACAGCCGCAACTTGAATATTTAAAAACGCATCGATTGGCCTATTTACAAACTGCATTAACAATAAAATATTACAAAGTTATTGAAGTTTCAAAAATTGCATATTTATCATAGAAATAGAAACTGGAGTCAGTTCAAAATAAGCCAAACGACACAGTGGCGCCATCTACGAGGCACATTTTTGTTGCTGTTCAAAATGAGCCAAATGACATTGAAAGTGGCGCCACCTACGAGGCACAATTTTGTTGCCAAAAAGTGCAACAAAATTGTGCCTCGTAGGTGGCGCCACTTTCAATGTCATTTGGCTCATACGTAGATTAATTATTTATTAAGTGCGTTACTTATTTTGAACTCAGTTTTTTTTTTTTGTGTAAATTGAGAAATTTCGGTTAATTTTTCTCGTGTACAAATTTTAAGTTTCAAATTTTTCTTCTGTACAAATTAAAAAGATTCGTAAGTGCCATTATGTCGTCTCATGTTTGTACTATATATGCGATAATGGCATATATTTTTAATTTCATACGGTAGTTGTATAAAAATTTCCAAAAATAAAAAATCACTGCCAAATTTTAGTTATTTTTATTTTCACTACTAATTTTTTATTATTATAATTTTTGAAAATTTTCAGAATTCTTTTATTTTACATATTTTGAAATTTTGAAAATTTTTCAAAAATTATATTAGTGAAAATATATATATATAAATAATATACAAAGATACAACCGACAATATGGTTTTTGTTTCTCATTAAGAAACTAAGTTAAAAATGGTCACTTTCTTGAAATGAAATATTGTCACATATTAAATGAAAATGAAATTTAGAAAGATGGCTATTATTCTCGTCTACAATATAACAAAAAGTTATTGTATGATAAGATCAGACACATATTAGTGGGGGTTCAAAATTTTAATGACTTTTTTTTTCATTTTGAAAGTGAGACTCTCATATATATTTAGAATGGCTCCTGAAGAAAATTTATTTTTAATGCCTAGAATCATTAAGAGATCTATAAACTTTTATGTATATATATATATATATATATATATATATATATATATATGTATGTAATTAGAAAATTTATTACAAAGTTGCATCATTTTGGGGAATCAATTTATTTTTTTTTTTCAATTTAATTGTATAAGTGTTAATAATTAAATAGAATTAGTAAACAATTATTATTTATACAATTAGAAAAGTTAACTAAAAAATAATTTTTCAGTTATAACTTTTTTGTAATGGGAAATTTTTTTGATGGTGAAAAAACAAATTCTGATTTTTAAAATGTTTTTTGCATATATATATATATAGGTATATGAAATATGGAAGTGTGTCTGCGAGTCGTAAAACTGTGCTACCACGCAAAAATACTCTCCCTCGCGCGCAACCGAATGCGTTTATATTATAAATATACATACGGCTTTTCGCGATTTCGAAATACCTATGCGAACCGGGTATACGACCTTTATAAACACTCGTCTACACCGAGCGCTATATAGAAGGTCGAACACTATACAAATTGCAACCTTTAGATGTCACGATTATTAAAAATCTTCTTATATATACTCTCACCTTGATAATGTATAGAGAATTGTTATATATATTTTTCCTCAAACAATAATATAATTTGTTTCTTACAAATTAAATTTTCAAAATTTTGTACGGGGGTTTTTTTTTTTAAAACTACGAATATACTTTTTAATTAGAAATAATTAAGAACAAACCTCGATTCAATAAAATATTTTCTATTAACATTTAAGAAAATTATATTTTGTTTTATATATATATATTTTACATAAATAATTTATTTTCTTTTCCCTTATGCACACAAGTCTATATTTCAACAAAAAGAAAAAAAAAAATTTTCCCTCATTTTATATACTAACTTCCTTTATTAAACCTTTTCCAAGATCTATAACCACCTGAAGTAAGTCTACTTACTAATTCATTGATTCCAACTTTTGTACATTTAATATCCAAACGAATATTTAACCAAGTAACTGTGGAAAAAACCACCTCAGGTTCGAAACTGACATTAGTAATGCAATTGCGTGCAATTTTCTATCTATTATATTATTCGTTTAAAGTCGATAATACTTCCCATATATATATGTAAGGGTTCTATAACTTCGAAAGCGACGCTTGAATCTATATATTATTCTTTGAAATGATACTTTAAATTATATATAATATTAGGCGAAAAAATTTCCTTAGAAATTCATTATTTTTATTGCTAATAAATAGAAAAGAGATTTGAATTTCCCGCCAAAAAATTAAGCGAGTTGAGACAATGGACACCAAACCGATGCAAATTGTATCCGTACACTGACTTTTAACTTCTGAATTTATTAATGCTACCCAATCCTGAAATATACATTGGATTCTAATCTAACATGACTGTTAACTGTTAATAGAATTTGAATTGTTTCAAGTATTGATTTTGTTTATTGATATTTTTTCAAATAATTGTCTCATAATAAAATGTTAGAAAATAAAAAAGAATTCTGTGTGTCCGACTACAGAAAAAGAAAATTACAAGAAACTGCATAGTTACAAAAAGCAAAGTTTTGTTTAAAATTTGTTCTATTACAAATGAGAATATCTATGATTATCAGACTGGCATATCGTCGGCCATTTTTAAAGTAACTAATTTACTAGATAGATTTCTAGTTACTTTAGATATTATTAGGTTTAATACCAACTTAAAATATATGAAATTAAATAATTTTGTTTTTCTTCCAACCAATTTATTAATTAATTAATTGTATTTTTAACAAATTTATGTGATTTTTTTTTTTTGTCCTGAAAAATGTTTTCGATAACATGAAACGACTATATAAAATAGAGACTCGATCAAAGAGAAAAACACTCTGCTTGGTCGCAGAGAATCTTGATTTTTATGAAAGCAACGACAGTGAACGACAGCAACGACTTTTGGGTACCTAACAAAATCCGTTCTGTTCACATATATATATGCGAATCTGTCTTGTGGTGATGCGATAGTTGAGGATCCATTTCAGGGGGGGGGGTACAGTGATAAAATTGATGCGTAGATTCTGTAGGCACTTAGAAGTGCAAAGGGGTGAAGTAAGGGGATCACGAAGATCGTAAAATCTGGACGAAGTAGATTCACGGTGCTCTAAGATTGCGCTCGAAAACAGTGGAATATATATATATATATATATATACGTGGACGAATCGAGATCCCTCCACTTGTGCCAGAATTTACTCAATTCAACCTCACTAAAAACCGCAGTTTGCTTTTACAATAAAAAGTTGAATTCAAAATTTTTGACAAAATTCATTTACGAATTCTTTTGAAATACTATATTTTATTATTATACTTTTTAGCTGCACATAAAATTATGTTTTTGAAAAATAAAAAATAGTAGTAGTTTCATTAAAAAGAAAAAAAAAAAGTACCTGATTGAAAAATAATAACGAACTAATTATTAATATATTGAACTGGCAACAGTTATCGAAAACTTGAATTTTTTTTTTTTTTTTTTTTTTTTTCATAAAGCAAAAAAAAGAAATCGATGATTTCTATACAGAGAGCGTAATAAGTATTATTTCTTTATAATACTTCGAGACACAAGTACCGATTAGTAACTGGTTTCAGAGCCGAGGTTAAAAGAGTTCATCAAACAAAGTTATCTTTATAGATTTTTTTTTTTTTATTTTCAATTTTCAATTCTTTCAATAATTTCTTCAATTCAATTAAATCATTTTTTTTTCGAAAATATCAGTGTCGAATTTCCCTTTCATCTATTTTTCCCAAAAAATAATTTTTTTTTTTATCATATTATACAAAATAGAACTCTTTTCTTATTATGTATGTAAAAAAAAAAAAAGAGAAGATATTATGTTGTATGAAAAAAAAAGACGCGTATCTTTGCACCTTAATGAACTGCTGGTACATTAATGAAAAAAAGTAGAGAGAAAAAAAAAATTAAGGAATTAAATCCATGCTTACACATGCTCCTCGCTGCATTTATTAAGAATGAAATCACGTTGCAGAGAGCGGACAAATGCGGGAAGAGATATAATTGTCCATTTCTAACAATTAGGTAATTCAGTATGTTAGATTGATAAAACACGCAACGCAGCTCCGAGCTAATTATTGAGTTCAAACGCTCCGAGAAAATTGCACCTCTACCTATATAGTATATATATATATATCTGATTGACGTTTTAAATATATATTTTTTAAATATTTTCTCAACACAATTATAATATTGAATAGTAATAAACAAATTATTAATCGATCTATAAGAAATTGAAATTTTTCATAAATTATCGAAAAATATATATTTTTTTTCACTATTTCATTTGCACAATCAGATAAGGATGCAAAATAGATTTACTTTTTTATCCTCATTCATGTGCATATCTTTCCATCACTATATATAGAAGGTTTATATATATTTACATATATACCTTATCTTCATAAGGGGAAAAAATTACTATTTTAAATGTCATTCTATATTATTCTGTATATCAATATTACATCTGTCACAATCAGTTTATTTCATATTTTTATTTTATTTCTATATCTGCTCCATTTATTATCAGTTTTCTATAATTTCTATGTACACAAATTTAATGATTTTT